AACTCCTTACTTAGGGTACCCACTTTTGCTAATAAAATGCTTTTAAATCGAATGCTCTAAAGTTTTACTTTCTATTCATATTGAAACGAAACTAGGAATCGAAATGATCAATTCCATTCTGTCCTCTGGAAGCTTTGTGATAAGTACTTCCTGTTTAGTTCACTCTATCGATCCTCAGAGATCACGTGATAGTTTAGGGTATATAAGCTGCGTTATTAGAGCTCCTAGTTCCCAGACAGAAGTCGAGGGAAGGCAGTTGGTTTTCAGTTAAGGCGAGGAACATAAACTTGTCCAATACAATATTAAACAATAATAATGTCTTATGTGCCTGTATAAGGCTTTCGAGACTTTGTTGTGTTTTTCTGAAAGTTGGTAAATATTTTTGTTTGCTTAGCTAGGAAGCTCAAGCGCTCCAGGACTGAATTGGATAGTTGTAAATATATTTGATTAAAATCCTTTATTGAGAAGTTTAATAATTATTGGAGTTATTCCTTTAATTGCTCAGGCAGAGCAACCGAATTCTCGAACCCAGAAACGTTACAATATCTATTCATATATAATCAATCTACATGACTAACAAATTTCGTTCCGAAATCACCGTCACGGTAGCTCAGTCGGTAGAGCGATCGCTCCGTGATCGGAAGGTCGTGTGTTCGATTCACGGCCGCGACTGACCTAAGTCGATAAAAAAAAAAATAGGTAGCAACTGTTCCTTCGCCAAGCGCTCGTCACTTTGAAGTGAAAGTTGCGGATCATTCGGATGTGACCTTTTAAAAAAAACGAGGTCCCGTGTCACTGTGAAGACTGGCACGATAAAGAACCCTCACTGCTCAATGGCCCTGAATGCCAAGTAAAGGTCTAAATTTGAAGCCCTTCACCGGTATATGGTGACGTCTCTATATGAGTGAAAAATTCTCGAACGGGACGTAAAACAACATACAATCAATCAATCAATCATTCCGAAATTCCATGTACTTCCCGAGATATGGTGAAATCAATTTCAAAATTGACCTACTTTCTTTTACTCGACATTAGCTTGGGCCTTGGTTATTTACATGTATAGAGACGGTGTTTGCACAATCTTTCAACATTTTAAAGTTGATTTTTTACTCCAGATCTTAAGGTTAAGTCAGTAATAATTTCTTTTGCGAAAACAAAAAATTAGAAAACGTTTGCTTCAACAACTTCACAGCCATGTTGTTTATTAACGTAAAAAGAACTATGATTGAACGAAATTTTCCCGGAATGTATAATATACCTTTTGATTTTTTAGAAATTATACCGCTAAAATGTTGGTGGTAACTTAGTAAGAACATATGATCAAATCAGATAAAATTTTGTAGAGACTGAGTGCTAATAAACAAATATTCAGAGAATATAGAGTAAAATTCCGGGAAGAATTCGTCCTGTCGTTCCCGCTTTACAATTAGTGTAACTATTCAGATGTCGAGTAAAAAAATAAGTTTAATTTTGGACTATGATTTCAGCGTATCTCGGGAAGTATACGGAATTTCAGAAAGAACTTTGGCAGTAACGTAGATTGTTTATATGTGAATAGTTATGAATAGAAAGTAAAGTTTTTAATAAGATCATTTGATTTAAAAGTACTTTATTGGCGAATGTGGGTACCCTATGTAAGGAGTTCCATACCTTTATTTTTTTTAACACCTTAATTTTTTAAAGCAATCTAAGGGCCCGTGGTTTTAGCTACACAGTGTAGATACAGAAATCAATATTGTCATAAGGTATAAAAGTTTCAAACTTAATAACACCAATGTTTATCTAGAATGAAAACATGGTTTCAGAGTCATAGAAAACCATCTTTGTGTTACAAACATTTCAGGCTAAAAATCCTAATTTAAAAACATGCATTTTCGAAGCAAACAAGACCACCTTTGGACTGATCATCAGTTGTTGTTTTTTTTCAAATCCTTCTTTTTTTGTCAAGAATTAGTAAGAAGTTTCAACCTTTCATAATAAAGTGAGAAAAGTGGAAAGGGAATTGCAAATTTGGTAAGAATGAAAAAAAAAAAAACAAAAAAAAAAAAAAACAAAAACAAACAAAAAAAAAAAAAAAAAAAAAAAAAAAAAAAAAAAAAAAAACAATACAAAAAAAAAAAAAACAAAAACAAAAAAAACAAACAAAAAAACCCACAATTTATTTGATAATCATAACTTCTTCTTTTTTTTTTTTTTTTTTTTTGAAAAGACGATTTAGTTTCATTGTTCAGAATTAGTTACATTGTAATGTTTGCTATACAACTCAACGCTTACGACCAATATTATCGTCTTCCTTGGAAGACATTATACAGAGACTGTGTACTTCCTCTCTTCTGTGATTAGTAGAAAACACATGATGTGGAACTTTTTAATTATTTCATTGGTTCAAGGCATTGAGATAATTTCCTGGTGATCTAATTTTCGTACGATTTAATAATTTTTCAATCTTTAAAAAATCAAACAAAAGAAAAATTGCAATTGCAATAAATAAAACTGACACTTTTATTTTTTTTATAAGAAATATTACTAAGTTTTTCTATATTTTCATGGTTAACGGAATTTTTCTCTTATTTTGCATACATATATTATAATTTGATTTCATTTATTCTTTTTTCCTTCGTTTATATGGTAGGGCTAATGTCTGTAAAAAGCTATAAAAGAGAACAATAATACGGCCTGATAGGTGTATGTCAGTTTACTGTTTAAGGTCGTTACTAAAGACGGTTAAGCAGGGCAATTGTTCTTGTAGGAGATAAAAGAAAGATAACCGAATATTCTTGATCATAAAGGATTACAATGTAACTCGTAGTGTTGCGATTCTTCCTACGAGTTTCTAAGTTATTATCTGCAATATTACATGTATGTATAAAGTATTTGATAAATTCCATCAATTTTTGTTTTCGAATTTAAAAATAAATAATAAAAACAATCGAGTATAATGCAGATCAGAGATTATATTTATTCTTTGGTTGCATTTGTTTGTACTGTAATTTTTTTTATTCATTTCAGTGACAAGAAATTAGTTGAATAGAATGCTTCGAATTAGGGTGGAAGGTCGAAGCTCCTGGCAACTCATAGATGCGATTAAGGCACAAAATATATGGGTACACATAGAACACTTTGATTTTATTTCTCTTTAGAAAGGTTCTGCGTATAGAGAGAAAGATTACTGAATTTAGTAAATACAGTTACAAAATGTAGAGCAATGAGCTTTTATGTATGAAGGTCAAACTGAGGTCAAGTTTAATGTCAGAAGAGATGCAAGCCCAATTTTAGTTTAAGAAAGGGTTTACTACCATAACACTAATTCATTGTTCATATGTTTATTTTCACCAAGGCCTGTGAAATTATAAATGATCATCATATTGGGATTAAATAATGTTATGAAGTGAAATATCATAACCCAAGTAATACCAGATAAAACAAATTTTATTTTCAGAATATTTAATACGTTAAATTTAAATATTTCATTCGAAATGAATTGTTGAAAGTAAAAGTTAAGATGTGGATTTAATGTACTTTGACACATAAAATGAATAATCAATAAAACATGTATATATTGCAAAAAAGTGAAATTACAGAAAATAATGACATTATTTAATGCATATACTGGGACTAAATGAATGCAAATTACTCCTTGGGAAATCAATAAAAAAATGTGTAGAATATTAAATCTTCAAATTTTTTTTAAAATTCAGAATAACATTCATGTTAACATGTAAATTATCAATAAGCCAATTCTATTTAACATTATTTTTATAAACTAATAATGAGCCCATACATATCAAATGTAGATGCGTTTTAATACAATATGGAATGCTTACTAAAAATAAAACATATCATGTCTAGAAACAAATGAAAATTTAAGTAATAAAAATTCGTAAATTTTAAAAACTTTTCCCTGTAGATTTTGTGAGCTGCTTATATCTGGTAATATACATGTAAATCGTTAAACAGTTGTGAAGATGTGAAGCACACTGGTCTGAAAAAATTGGGATGGTTCACCAGAGAGCTACAATGCCACCTACTAGTATTGAAAAAATAAGTGTGTATTTATTGCACCCAAAAATGTGCTGTTTCTCGCTTTATTTCTTTTTATATTTAAGCTGCCATTTCATAATATTACTAACTGTGTGTTCATAATATGTTCATTTATTATTGTGATTGCATGTTTATGGCACCTTCTTGAGTTTTTCTCTGACAGTATATGATCATTTTGAAACAGCTACAAATAATTTGAATTTACATTGAAAATAAAAACATATCATATGATTTTTTTTCTAAAGCTAAAGCCTTAGTATAGTAAATAAAGGCAAATTACATTACCTGATTAATATTCAATACTGATAACAGAAAAAAAAGTACAAATACATGTACGTTTCAGCAGTCAAAAGCTTGCACGTATATTTATATACTCCTTTACCGTAAAGATGATTTGAAGTGTTTACGTATGGTCTTATTATTAACACGTATTTCCCAAGCATCAAACTTCATTAAACTACACTTATGTAAATGTTCATGGCCATATGCATAGGCGGATCCAAAGAGGGTTGGGGGTGGGGTGGGGGGATAAGAGACTCTCCTTCCCAGGGTTTCCAGAGAAATTAATTCTTAAAAAATACCTGACTGAAAATGGCATTAATCCCTTTTCTTAGAAAATATCGTAAACTTTAGAAAAGTTTATGAACGAACTCCCAATCTTCACACAGATATACGAAACAGTTTTTCCCACACATGACTTTTCCCTTTCTTTAGTACGGATCCATTCCCCCTCCTCCGGAAAATTCCTTCATCTTCCTTTAATGACATGTAATGAATAGAAAACACACATACACACAAAAATAATAAATCACATAAATATCCATCAGAGCTTATGTACGTGTATGTATATGTGTTCAAATTTTCATTAGCATCAGGATTTTTTCATATTAAAAAAATATTCTCAGAATGAAAAATTCCACAGAATCTACACCAGAAGCTGAAGAGAACACCTTCTCGATTAATTCTTAAATTTGATCAAACTTTTCATTTATGAACGCTTTATTGCAGACATGAGAAAAGGAAAATAACTGGGGCTATTAAGTTCAGTAATTGTAGAACAGTAAGTAAATATTTATCAGTATTCACTCTGTCGATTTCTAAAACAATTGCTTATTATAAGAAGAAATTTTTCATATCGTTGGAAGAACCTATTGTTTCCAGGAATTATTATCTAGCAGAATTTACAGCAATATTTGAAGATTCTGCACCCCGATTTGCTGTTTGAATGAATTCATAACGAAATTGTCACATGTACCCTGTTTTCTTTTCTTTTTTTTCAATCGTAACTTTATATGAACGTTAATAACCGTCCGGAACTCCTCGCTTTCTGTAGTCAGCATTGGCGCTTATCTTTCCTTCATTTAGCTGTAGAATACCCTGCACTACAGAGCCGGCAGAGTCCGACATACTAATGTTGTGACCAATGTTCTTCAACCCTTGTATAATTTGCTGGAAAAAAAAAGAAATCAATTTTACAGCTAGATTAACCAAAGACAATCTGTTCAGTAGTAAAGAAACCTCCTCATCACTACTGTGCAACAGTTTAAGTTCCTTGTTAAAAAAAGTACAAGTACATTTTTACGCAATCGAGATGTGACATAGGTAAGCGTACTTGTATCATTTCCGGTATTTTTACCGAAAAAAGGCAATCCTTTAACTCTTGCAAGCGTGGCTCAGCGGTAAGAGCGATCGCGGAGAAGGGTGTGTTCGAATCCCACAGGGAAACGTGGAGATGGGTCCTTGGGAAGATACCGTATAAACCGAGGTTCCGTGTCGCAGATGACGATGGTGAGAAAAAGATCACTCACTGCTCAACGGCAATAAGCGCAGAGGACTAAATTTGCAGCCCTCCATCGACAATTGGTGGCGTCCCAAGATATAATGAACAAATGATCCTTTAAAAGAATGTAAACCTCAAAAATAACATTGTTATTTATATCTCTGACGTAACATTCATGTTACGTTCAACACCCTGAAAGTTTTGTTAAAAATAAGAAAAGAAAGCCTTTATATGTACATGTAATAGTTTTTCATTTATAAAAACATTTTATCCCTGTATAATTTGGAAAGGCTAACTCGGGAGGGGAAACTCAGGAATTATTTTATATGTACCTTTACAAAAGTCGCCCGCGTGGCGCAGTGGTTAGAGCGCTTACTCTAGAGTCGCGGCATTAGGACTTGATTTAAACGTTAAACACCAACGAACTAAAACAAACAAACCTTTACAATGTTTGACCCTCAAACGAAATACTTTTAAGATACTCAAATCCCACAAAGGATTATAAATATGGTGAACAAGTAAATGCAGATGAATCTAATGATTTTATAGAAGATAAGCAATAACTTCTCATGTAAAGGAAGTATTTTCCTACTATTTGTACTAAACTCGTTAACATCCGTGTGTAAAATTAAAACAATATGAATAAAGTTTTGTTCTAATCCTACAAAAATCCTTTTCGAATTATTATCTGAAAGAAAATGAAAACTTACCGGGTCAAATCCGTTTTCCACTGTTACGTAGGCTGGTAACAACTGATGATGCAGTCGTTTGTGATCGATTGATTTCTTGATTCCATACTTGAACCACAGTGTCTCAATGCTTACCTAAAACAAAATTATAAATAAAAAATTATGAAATCTCATAGTTTTTGCTTCATATGTAATTTCAAGTAAAATGAATTTTAACGACAGTTATTATAGTGAAATTCAAATTAAATAAATCGCCAAAGTAATTTTCAGCAGTTGATGATTTTATAATAAAGTCAGGCAAATAAAATAGCCAAAGTTATCTTGTAGAATAACGAGAAAGTTATTTCGTTATAGCTAGCTGCAGAACTGTAGCGTTATGGTTTTAAATATTAGTCTTTGACCATAACAAAGACTAATATATAAAACCATAACACTACAGTTCCTAAGCCACGTTATAGCGAGAAAAGATCTCAAATGATTTCAAACGAAAAGAAAAGTTTTCTACTTTGAAATAAAATTGACGAATTTGAAATCATGGTCATACTACACTTCTGGTCATTGGCAATAACATACTAAAGTTTGCATTTGTTCCAAAGTCGCGGAGTGGATACCATTTAATGACAGAGAGACAGAAAGAAGACAGGAACAATACCAATACAACTGTGTTAATGTTAATTTAATACTATAATAGATAAGATACGTATACATTTGTTTTTGTTGAAGGGGGGGGGGGGTGAAATTTATCCTTTTCTCATGAAATACATGTACATGAATGTTTCAACCAATCTATGCTAATCAAATTTTCTAATTTACATTCTAAATTCTACCATATACGTACTAAAGCAGTTGAGGTTGTAATTCTTGTTCCACCGGAAGCTCCCACCACTAACTTCACGTGACCCTCTGAATCCACCACTACACTAGGGCACATGGAGGACAGTGGCCTCTTACCTGGCTTGATAAAATTCGCAGCTGAGGCCGGAACACCAAAAGAGTTTGTTGTATTTGGTGTAGAGAAGTCGTCCATTTCATTATTAAAAAATATTCCTGTTCTGCTGCCGACAACTTTCGAACCAAAACTATAAATAAATAAATAAATAAATAATTTTTAAAAAAAATACAACATGATAATGTAGGTATGATTAATTAAGTGTTTATATAAAAGTCATACGCAACGTACCTTACTTACTGGTAATTTTCAAGATATTCTTAATATCAAAGTTTCATCAGATGTTCTTATGAAAAAAAAACAATATATATATTACCAGAGGTGTTGAAAAGATATAAAATGATGTAAATCCTAGTTTTTCAATTAAAAAATATTTGGAAAATGATCAAAGGTGTATCGTTTTAGCTTGCTTAAATTTTGTTTTGAAAGAGATTTGCATTATCGTAAGTCTACTCTTATTGGAACTTTTCAATTACAGGAGATATGAAAATGAAGTTAAAAATGACGTTGCGTATGTCCCTGATGGAATATGTTGTATCCAGTCAATATGAGAATGAATGAATTAAATATTTAGCTGTTTCGGTAAATTCATCTCAAAATACTGCAGATTTCTGGTTTGTAATTACATGTATGTATCTACATGAACGTACTAAAGATTTATTGTACTGGTGAGTGAAACAGCGTCGCCATTTGGCGCCAGAACTGCCAAGTGCGACGTCCCCGTTTTTGACTGGTCGTAAAATGTCGGCCCGTAGTACAGGGTATCGTGTGTAGAAGTATCAGATATTTTAGATCGAACATATTCAGCATAAGATGATGACGTCATATTATTTATCAACTGAAAAAGAAAGAAACGAATTACAAATTCAATCGAGATTTGAACCTCCCTTACATGCTTACAATTATACGTTTGAAATTCACGTTAATGTACATAGTGTCACTCTAAACAATACAATAGGAAACTTCTTACCGAAGCAATGTTATCCTTAAAACTTTGACTCTCCTTATCTGGGTCCCCGAGACTACTCCTCTTTGCATAAGCGAACTTCATGGCTTCTACGATTCTATGCCAAGTCAATGTCGATTTTTCAGTGTTTGAGACACTATCTGGACTAAATCCGTATCCTGTACAATGTATATAATGCATTAATTTATTTAAAGATAATGTCATAGCTATCGATACATTTTTGAGATTGGTCCTTATGTACTTTCATGGAATATGGTTTTAGTCCAGAACTGGAGTTGTCATAATAGGACCAATACTGTCCCTTAGGGGGCACAATCAAAGCACGCATCTTATTAAGTATCCGCAGATGTATCAGAAGTGCTGTTTGGATACTCCTCGTTTCAAGAAAGTAATCTAAACGCCAACCTTAACCTTGATTCTTCAAGAAAAAATAATGACAGGCAGGTACCGTAATTCCATTCTACCCCTTCGAACCCCAACAGCTTCGTGCAGGGGTATAAAAATCGTAAAATGAACAACAGGATACCTCTCAATGGAATTGCAACTTACGAAAATACACTTACCGTCTGCGATGTTGAGAATCATGGCGTACACTGCCCCGCTAGATGGCGGCTGTGGCGTGAAGATGGTGGAGTTGTCCTTCAGTTTCACAACCAACGGTTCCTTCACAACTGCTACATAGTTGTTCAAGTCTTCCTTTGTTATAATTCCACCTAGTAAAAAAAAAATCAGTAATCTTTTTCAGTTCTGCAATGTTGACCGAAGTAGTTATATACCTTCTTAAAAAGAACGAAGCTCTTTGCTCCGAGGCCCTGACGTCATGATTCCTACCGTCTCGAACACGGACTCAAAACAACAAGTAAATGTTAATCATTCCTCTGCTTACTCATATAAAATTTTGCTTTAACAATTTTCCAAAAGAAATCTAATTTATACTTCAAATGCACACTATGCTCACAATTTCTGCAAACTTAGTAGGACAAACTTTGAAGAAATGACTTCTTTTTTTATATATATATAATTTTCAAATTAATAGTCGTTTTTCAAGATAAGAGTTTTCTTTCGCATCAGATGATCAAAAAACCTTTAGATTTGCAGCTATAAAAGAAAAGCTATTATAATATTTTTTCTGAGCTAGCGTCGCCCGCGTGGCGCAGTCGTTGGAGCGTTTGCTCTAGAGTCGAAGAGTAACTGTTGTTTTACGGTCCATTCGAGAATTTTTCACTATATAGAGATGTCACTATATACCGGTGAAGGGCTTCAAATTTAGACCTTTACCCGGTACTGAGGACCTTTGAGCAGTTGAGGGATTTTTATTGTGCCAACGCCTGCCGTGATTGAACCCACAACCTTCCGATCAAAGAGCGAGCGCTCTACCGACTGAGCAACCGTGACGGTCCCCTTAGGAGTTCGATCCACTGTGAGAAAAAAGGGAATACCGGTCCATCGGATGAGGCCGTATAAACTGAGGTCCTGTGTCGCAGTAGAATGACACGAAAGAACTAAGTGCCCCGTACAGGTATACTTTTGCAGACCACTGACAAGTGGTGGCGTCTCAATATGAGTGAAAATTTCTCTAAGGGACGTTAAGCAAACAAGCAAACAAACAAACTTTCCGAGCTAGCTACTATAGGCAACTGGAATTAAAACATTGAAATGAAGCTCATAAAAATTTCCAATGCTACAAGATTCCGTTGTAACTAGCCAGAATCTTGTTTACTTACTACTATCACTACTTCTACATGTACTTGCGTGTACATACATGTATATATCAGTTCAGTATTTAATAATAAACTAAAGAAATAAAGGTACAATCTGCAAGTTTTAGAGCAACAACTGTCAAGATTGTGGTACCTGCTTCCCGAATATCCTCTACGATGTCATCGACAAGAGAACCATTATACATCGCGTGTGGATCGTTGGCAATGGCTTCAAATGTGTTGGCCAGTTTTGGCATTTTGATGATTTCTCCTTCATTGTATGGTCGCGCAGTATTTGGGTTTGTGAGAATGTCTCTGCGAAGACAATCAAACAACACAAATAGTTATAATTTCTTTTTAGATATAAATGAGAGCGTTACGTTTAACGGCTGAGTCATACTTTTCCAGTTTTGGATTAGTGACAAAGCTGAAATGTATCAATATGTTAGTGAAAAAGAAATTAAAAATGAAGAATGTAATTTACATGTATAGACTGTTTTATATTTCTGAACACAGGATAAGTGTCTAGTACATGTACATAAGAAATACTAAGCAAACTTAAATTTTATATTACGTAATTAATTTTCTGATGCTCAGTATCATGTTCTCATCAAATTGTACTGAAATCATTGTTTTTAAACTGACTCTAATTTAAATCAGGGAATTGTTGATTTAATTATAAATGAATAATTAAACCATACCTTAAATTTTTCTGTCTTAATAACACTGTCGTTTGTCTTGAAATGGCATACGCTAGAGGCTGGCTAACCTTCCACCCCTCTCGAAGCTTTTTGATTGTTGGCTGAAATAAATCTTTCCAGGGAAGTTTGCCGCCAATTTTCCAGGCTTCATACAATCCCTTGATTTCACCGGGTACTCCTATAGCTAAACCGCCTGTCAAAGGGAAAAGAATATGATTTTCCAAAATGTGATCAACATTTGCAAAGTATAAATAGAAAAAGGATTTTCCTGATTGAGATGTGATGCATTTTCAATTTATGACCAACTTAGCTTGAACCCTGAACACATTGGCCATGAATTTCAAAAAAAAAAAAGAAAAGAAGATTACTAGAGGCTAGGGCCTTAGTTCGAGATATGCAGGAGTAGATGTTCTTAGAATATGTATATTTTTACTACATGACCATTTTGAAACTAACCTTTGTGATGAACCCCTGCCTCGGGGGTTATGAAAAACATAATTTTTGAGAAAAGTTCTTCATGCTCTTCTTAATCATGCATTCAGTTTTTCTTCTTGTTATGGAGGAACAGAGAAGATTTTCTTACATTAAGATCATTTTCACTACAAGGCCATTTCGACCCTGCCTTTTAGGAAGAACCGGTGCCCGGGGGTGGTGGGGGTGGGGGGCATGAAAAACATTTTTGGTTCAGGTCTTAGTGATCTTCCTAACCATGCATTCAGTTTTCCTTGAAGATGAGCGCAAGAGTAGAAATTTTCGAAGATTATCTACATTTTAAGTATATGACCATTTTGGCCCCACCTTGGAGGAAGAACCTCTGCCCTGGAGGTCAGGAAATACACAAGTTGTTTGGAAGATGGTTTTATTTTCTTCCTTATACCGTGCATTCGGTATTCCTTTAACATGTGCAGGAGTAGATAAGAAAATCTTCCAAGAGAAAAGTACATTTTTACTACATGACCAGTCTCGCCCCATCGCAGAGGAAGGACCCCTGCCCTGGGGGTCATGAAAAATAAAATAACGGTAGAGGGCTTCATGTTCTTCCTAACCATTCATTCCCTTTTCCTTCAACATGTGCAGGAATAGAGAAAAGGATTTTTGAAAGTTTGACTTTTTGGCAGTTTTTGTCGCGATCCTACAGTCCCAGGGGTACTGTGGCAATAGGTCACCTGAGTGAATCAGGTGACCTAAAAAGAGACTTGATTATATAATATGCATTTAGAGTTCTTAAAGATTTATTTATTAAAAAATATTTTAACAGCATTCAGGTGTTTCAGCTATCTTAAATACAAAATAATGTTGATTATAATATATAAAACACAGATTTTTTTTTTAAATTAATTATAAAAATAAAACTTTTTTGTATCTTTACTGCATTGTTCAAACTATTATATTGTACATGTATTTGTTTCAATATTTCCGCAGTAGATGTATTTTGAAGACTTCAAATTGGTTACAGAAACGAACTATAGTGTATATATATTATAAAAGAAATCAGCTACATGTAGCAATTATGAGGACAAAAATGACTAGTTTCTCTAGCTGTAAATAAATTTGTTGTTGATTTTTACCTTCCGTTGAAGATTTATTTTCTGGCACATACATATCTTCTGTTGCTGCCCCTGGCGCCATCTCGCGAGCTAAGATTGTATAAGCTGTGTTATTTGCCCTTTAAAACAATCAAAATAAGGTTGAGTGACCTTAAACGACGTTATTTGTAATGTGTTTTATATACAGTGTAAATTCTTCAATTTTAGTAAACTCGTCTGTTACATACCTGCTGTATACGGTCATGAAATGCCCTCCTCCAATTCCACAACTGTGGCTGTTTTCTACACACTGACAAAGAATGGTGGCGATAGCAGCATCTACCACAGATCCCTGTCGCCGCCCCATTATATCTCTGAAATCCTTTTTGTATTTAATTATTCTTTCAATATTTAAAAGCGCCCATCGATTCCCTTATGAAAAATATGGTACTTGGTTTTTCCTTTAAATGTTCTTTGAAAACTTATTCAGTTAGTGTTGTTTTAATTCATCTTTATTGTTCATCCGTGATAAATAATAATAACTGTGTGAGAAATATACAGAGGTATAAATTCAAAACTCCCAAGCCATTCAGAAAACACTGTAAGTACCCAGTAAGTTTAAAAATAAGAAAAACATACATGCCAATTTGTGCGCAAGTTCCGGTGTCAGATGCTATAGCGGCGTATCGATAATGGCCCTCGATTGACGGGGATCCCTCTGGAGAGGGTTTGGTGGTGGTGGGTGGAGTTCCTGTGGAGGAGGTCCCCGATTCCGTCCCTGTTTCTCCGCAGGGCGTTTGGTTGGAATCTTTGTCTCTAGTTAACACAAACCCAAGGCCAAGTCCGAGGGCAACAATACAGGCGATAATGAGAAAAGTGGCGATGATAATTAAACGTCCTTGAGACATTTCTTTGGACCTGTTACACAACCAGGAAAGTGTTATTACCTACTCTATATAAATACATATAATTCCTGAAATTATAGAAGTATAGAGAATATTGTGTCCTTTAACATAACCTTTGACCTATATTTCTCATTAACAGCAATGGTTTAGTCCATATTCTTTCCTTAAATTATTTTTCGTCAATTTCTTTAATCATGTTACATTTACATTGCGTTTTGTTTAGCAGATGACGTACCATTTAAAAATATGAAGTTACTGACAAACAATGACCTTGATCTATGACCGTACGGTTTACATTGTTAAAAGTATGTATCCCCTTTTAATTTTGACATAACCTAAAATTTGTGATTTTTTATTGTCTGTAAGTACGTTTCACAATCTGGTACTTCTAAAAACCCACTGTACCAACTACAACTTGTCACAATGCATTCTTGGGTACAATGGATTAACATTGTTTCAAATGAAGTGTCAAGCACCCATCCAAGGGGAGATAATAAATAATATTAAAAATTTAGTGGTTCATTTTAAAATCTTCTCAAGAGCTACTGGACCAGAAAGGACAAACTTTGTTATACAGTGTAGGTTGAAGTTTGTTAATGGAATGGTTTCATGGGATATGTTGGGCTACAATGATAGGTCAAATTTCTCAATAATACGTGGGAAAAAAATCTTTTAAAAATATTCCTGAGAACAACAAGGTCATTATCTAATCATACTGATATGCAAGCATCCTCATGTATAGGTTTTTTTTTCAAATCATGGCCCCGAGGACTAGGGTGGAGCACATAATTTGGAATCAAAATTTTACATGGGAATAAATGGAAAAAAAGTTGAGTATTTTTTTCAAACTCTTCAAAACCACAAGGACCAGAATAAGTCATGTTGTTAAGCAAAAGCTTCATGTACATGTATAGTTTAGATTCAGATTTGTTTCAATCTTAACTCAGGGTCGAAAAGCGCTAACGGTTTGTAATGAGCAAATTCATACACGCCTTGAGGGAAACTTCTATAAAATCTTCTTTAGTAGGAGTGACAAAAAATCGGTAAAATATGTAAATTAGATTAAATTCATTTAAAAAAAAAATAAAGCGTGGACACTGAAGCGTTTATCTGTGTAATGAAATCTAAATTTGACATGTGAGCCAAGGTCAAACGGAGGGTAGATTTTTTATGTTTTATAAATGTATACATCACGTATAACCATTCCCCAACTCTTAATGAGTTATGGACATTAGAGCCAAATACTTTAGTTAGTACTCTTTGGAAAGGTCCCGACCTTAAAAAAAACAACTTAAAGTAGTGTTTTCTACATAAAATACCGAGTGGTTAAAATTGCGTTATCTCTGGAGAAAAATAAAACTTTTCAAAGCTTTCGACTAGATCCTGTTTATAACAATAATGCATATCTTAAGGTTCATCGATACTTTGATAGAGATAACTCTTAATGCCATAAATGTCTATTATTCCGTTTATAGATTTGTCAAGATGAAATGTCTTTTTTGTTTCATTTTGCTCCGCAAGCTATGATATAGTTGTTTGTATTTTACTTATAAAATACATTTCTTTCGGAAAATCATAAAATTTAAAGTAACATTTTATATGAGTGAGCAGAGGGTTATTCCATTAAAGATAGAAATGAATCTTCTGCTCTTTTTTAAATTATGGTAATTGGCTGGCTTCCTATGGCCTATGTTTCAATTCTAACAGTGTCTGACTCTATAAACTAAAAGTTGTTTTATTAGCGAAAAAAAGATATTACACTTTTCATATTATTATAAATCATTTACTTAGTTTTACTTGTTTACATGTGTTTGTCACGATCTAAATTTTGTAATCACTGGATGGAAAGTTGTCCTGTTCTAATGTTTTTTTTAAATTTATTCCCATCCAGTAAATTCAAAATTTAGAACATAACGTTTTAATAATATACATGTATTCACTTAAAATGAATAAAAATGAATGTTGTTAAATCGTGTATCCCCTCACTCTGAAACCATGATATGAAAAAACTTGAATCTACATTATACCTGAGAATGTTTGCATATCAAATCACAAGATTTTTTTCCCTCTGTGCGCCAATGTAAAAATCGGATCCCTTAGTAAATGTGGCTTCATCCTACCCGAGGAGCCACAATTGAATACACTTGAATCGTCCTTGCATTTCATAATCACTAAATTTAAAAGATAAAAATTGGATTCCTTATTGTAGCTACCACCAGGGGTCATGATTTGTACAAACTTGAATCTTCACAACCTGAGAGTACTTCCATTTTCTAATCACTAATTTTAAAAGATTTTTCCCTATATATGCCAATGTAAAAATCAGACACTTAATGCGGCCCCGCACTTCCACCGTGTGCCATGATTTCAACAAACGTTAAACTGCATGTACATGTACACTATCCACTATCCCAGAACGCTTCTAGTTTAATATCACTAATCATGGATCAGCTATTCTTGTTAAGAATGTTTCAGATTTTTTCTATATATAGTCCCTTGTAAAACATGATTTTAAAAAAAAAAATGAATCTTCACTATATCAGGAAAAGTTTCATATAAGCTTCATATTTTTTGGCCTAGTGGTTCTTGAGAAAGAATTGTTGATTATCGCGCGGACATGGCCCTTCCTTTGAGCTAACATTAATTCCCTTCGCCCAAGGATACTCGAGCTCTGTACCAGGTTTGGTTGAAATTGGCTCAGTGGTTCTGGAGAAGAAGATTAAATTGTGAAAAGTTTAATTCACGACATGGACAGACAACGGACAATTTTCGACAAGAAAAACTTGCTTGAACCTTTGGCTCAGGTGAGCTAAAAGCATTTATATTTTTTAAGTGTATAGCAGATAAAATATAAGGAGTCAATCTTCTTTTCTTTTTCGATCGAGCAAAGTTCGGATGTTATCCAGTCTTCTGAGTAATTAGGCCACGTCTGAGATCTGTAATACACTGTATAATAAAATTCGGAGAGGACAAGGGAAAGAAAATACAAAACCAAAGAAAGACTTACCCCATGATGAACAGTTATTTTACAAAGTTGTTTACTGCCTTATGACTCTAGATGAGATGGTTTGCCTTTGTTACACTGAAAAGAAAATTCAAAATTAGTTATAAAGAACCTCCGGCGCTCTACCTACGAGCAGCATTTTAAATGATCTTCGTCTTTCCGCAGGTTCTCAAAATTTAATGGAAATCCAAATCGTTAATATAGATTTACATGCTTAGTAAATATTGCATGAAAAGGGGTGCTTGCAGAAGTGTCATCCATTATATGTCCGTAAAACACTGTGATAATTGACTTTTCGCTCCGAACTTAGACATATTTTAGCGTATTTAATATCATTGGCAGCCTTTAGCGCCTTCCTGAAGTGGTGATATAATAGAAAGTAAGGCATAAAGATGTAAATCCAGTAATATGTGTATATGTAGGTACAATATACATAAACTGGAGACTACGTGTACATTTGCTTAAACATATATAGAGATGACGATTAGAATCTCCTCTCTTCAACACAAAATAAGCTTATCATGAATAACCCCGTTTCCCGGAGCAGAATGGCATCGTAAAGTTACTATGTAAACAACTTTGCTTTTGTATGTTTCCTAGAGAGAGAGAGAGAGAGAAGAGAGAAAGGGGTATTTTCTTGCATCATGTACTAGTATCATATTAACACACGGAGTATTTTTGATAAATTTTTTTATGTATCAAGTGAACAATTTGTATGAATTAAGCTTTGAAAATGACTATCGTGGAAAAAGAAAAGAAAAGTCACATATCTTAGTTTTACAAGCATCCAGAGTTTACGTCATTTTGTCAAAGATCATTGATTATAAATTTTGGTTTTAAAGATATTACATTTGTCTTCTTCATTTGATGATAATATATTCCCATCCCTTATCTCTGATTTTCATATCCATGAATTATGATTTATTCTAATTAACAAATGCACTGAAAATTAATGTTTCTGTTGAGCTTGCAATATACTAGTTGTAGTACACGTATGTGTAACTGATTTGTAAACATTTTTTAAATAAAGTTGTTTGTAATTTTCAACCTTGAAATAAAAATATTTCAAATTAAAAATTTATGAGTATTTTCCGTGGACTCCTTCTTGTAAAAATACTTCGAAATACTTAAAAACTTTTGTGGCTGATCTTAACTTGTCTAGATTTTTAAACTGCTGTATTCTAAAATAGGCAGTTTATTGACTTGTATCTGTATGTATGCATTCAGTACTGTGAACATTCAACATTTTAATTGATTCTGGAACATAGATTTTTCAGAAGAATGAAAATTGGCATGATCGAGATGATTTCAAGTTTAGAAAGCTGACAAAAATGGTTTTTTTTTTTGTTTGTTAGTTATTTGTGTCTGTGTGTGTTTTAAATAACTCTGCAAATAATGTTAAAAACAAAACAAATCTCTGAAGAAACTTCCATTCAAGCTTAGGGCGGTATGTAAGTGCCTCATTAGAAAAAAAAGTTTCATCCAAAATTTATTTATTTATCTGAGTTGAGATAAATTTACAGATGCTTGATCAATTCTGTATCTGAGACGAGCCGTAAACAGTGGCAATATATGCGTCACATTCTTACGGAATTGAATCAGTTGTCAACTTTTACCGACATTCATATCTGTTACAACAAACGTACAGACGTATTATGAATATACGGTTCCTTGCACTCCAATATCGTTTCAAATCCGGTGACCTGTATATTATAATGCATGGTCAAGCAAAGTTCATCTTATTTCTAATTTTAAAAATTTAAGATCTTGACGTGATCTCTTGGACGAGTTCAACTGACTCGAGTACACCTAATTTCTCAGTATATATCAGGTATCAATATTTTTAAAAAAAATTTTTAAAGATGTCAGTGATTTTACTGATAGTTCTTGTTTTGACACAATTTACATCTTATACACGATGTCTTTCCAATCATAAATGTATATACTCGTGTATATATATATATATATATATATATATATATATATATATATATATATATATATATATATATATATATATATATATATATATATATATATATATATATATATATATATATATCTTTTGACTCCGCAATGTGATACTTATTAAGGCAAGAAAGGTTTCGAAAAGGGACAACAATCAATACTACTAAAAATGTCCATTATACAGTGTATGAATGTACTGATGATATGATATGCCATCCCTAATATACCAAAGACAGAATTAGTTCATTTATCATAAAATGACATGTTAGTAACATAAAAGTTAGTTTTACAAAAAATTGGAAGAGCATATTAAATGTTAAAGATATAACAATTTATTTCATGATAATAATTGTGCAATAAAAATGACCTCACTCTATAACATGACCTCAGTGCTATAAGTACATGATTGTATATAAATGAGCAAAAATGGGGCATGGGGGAAATTAATGTTAGAACTGGTTGTTTAAGAAAACCTATAGTTGGGGACTTGTTGGTAATTTTTTTTAAATGAAAAGAGAGAGAGAGAAAGGAGTTTTTTTACTCAAATAGTCGTGCGGATAGAATGCAGATGGAAGTACAATGTAACAAGGGAGGTCACCAAAGGTTACAATTAATACGAGGCACAATACAAGGTATTGCAATATCTTAACGTAGATGTACATGTAAATGATAAAAAGACTTCAACATTTTTTACGAGCATAGAATAGCAATTGAGTTCAAATTCATTTTTAGAATTCAGCATAGGAAATTTAAGTCGGCGACATGCAAATATCAAGTAAATAAATTAATACATGTGTACCTCGAACAGAAATCCAAAACTCTAGTAATGCAAAACAATTTTTAAAATAGCCATCTTGTTTGGACAAAAGCATTTAGAAACGTTCTCATCTCAAACAAGTGAAGATACGGGGGGGGGGGGGATAGAATGAGGTCTTATGAGGGGATTTACAATATGATATAATTAAAAGTTGCTACAAGAAAGATAAAACTTTAACAAAAATATTTTTTAGCATGAAATAGCATGCATGTAATTAAATTTTATATAAATGTATTATTTCACATATAAAAATATCCGATATTTTCATAATTCATTTGATATTTTTCTATATATTCATGCGTTTTTTCCACAAGTTTTCTTTGCTAAAATAATGAAAGTTGATTTCTTTGTCCAAATTATATGTATTTCCTTTTCTTTCTCTCCCCCTTCTTATTTTTCTTCAGTTTAAGGACACGAGACGCAAATTTTGCCCCCACTTTAACATAATAAATGACAAGATATCCTTCTTCACGCTCTGAAGTACAATTGAAATTGTAGTTTGTCACATTTAGAAACCTAGCACTGAACAAAATTAACGGACGAGATTTTAAACCAGACCCTCGATAAGAGTATGACCGATCATAAATTAATGGGTCTACAGTCTAAAGTAAACAAATTCGGCAAAATTTATGAACATGAAGCATGATTATGCTATACACATACACTTATCAAATGTGAAAATGCCAGTTGAAATTTTCGATTTAAAAGACACGTTATCTATTAAAGAAAAAAAGTGTTAATTATGTTTACCTCCTCTGTGTCAAGTTGGAAGAAATATTTTTCCAGAGCTGTGCAAATTTTACTGAAAATGGCTGTACTTTTGCGTAAGACCGAGGTATAACCGACAACAGACAGAATAAAGTACTGTGTATACCAAGGAATGACAATCCACTTTAGAAGCTGTTTGGTAATTACACCGTGGGGGGTTGGGGATAATCGTGTTTGTTGACAACATTAGGACTAAATGTATCAGTTGGATGCATAGACAAGGCGAGTTACTTGGAATATATGACAAGATAACAAAGGACTAGTGTTGAATACAAAATTATACAGATATAGGAATGTCCAGGTTGACATACGTGCATAATATAAAGTCATTTCGTTTATAATCTACTTGTTATATAGGATTGACTACATGCATATAAATTATATTTTGTTCATCGAGAAATGAATCTTAAAAAAAACGAATCGCACACTATGAAAGCCCGAAGGCTTTCATAAACTAGAGAGTTTCAAGGAACTCATGCGTTGCCTGCTTTATAGCATCATTAAAGATCTTTAAAGAAAATATAAAGATGGTCAGCTATTTATTTGCTACTTGCATTATGGTTCAGGCGTGCATTTGTCTGCAAAAAAAAAAACAAACACACAAACAAAAAAACAAAACATCCGCGGATAGTATTAGACCGATAGAATACTTATTCCAACATTTAACAAATAAAATCTGACAATGACATAAAAATATGAGTGCCCAACACTTAAAACTGAAAACAATAATGAATTTAAAATTTTTATTAATAAGTACTATCCCCAAAAAGAGATTTCGGTATTTACTGCAATTGTCTACAACGATCCTTTTAGTATACCGATCCCGATATAATTTGATACTTTCAGTTCTGTGTGGTAACTATATAGCATACAGTTTCTAAGTACAGAGTCATGAGCTCGCTCATAAACGTGTGATATAAGTTCATAGGGACGATGTTATGATAGCAAGGACAACTGAACTATAACAGGAATAAGCATCAAGATGATTACCAAGTTCAAGTTGAAATTCTCTCTAATAAATTAATGGTTTATGAGGTTCTATGTACAATATTTACAAAGAAAATATACAAGATACACGTGATATATGGCGGAAGTATGGCATGGCAAACGTAATAATATTCGGTTTTTTCCATTTGTATTCTTTTATTCATTTAATTGGTGAGATAAAGTTTCATGTTCTCTAGGCACTGAAAATAGTACTTGTACACATACATTCCCTATCTTGTATTCATGTTTATTTAGATTTCAAAACATTATATCCTAAAACTGAAATATAGACATTAATTAGTTTTCAGAACTTAATTCCGGTATACTTATTTGAAACAAATGTCATCATACATATAAGCAAAATATGTATAAAGAACTCATTCAAATTGCTTCGTTATTTTCTACACAAATATTGTCTGACAAGCACTATAACTAAAACCGAGTATTTCGATGCGAAACACACGACTATATTTGTAAAAACTGCCATGTAACGCAAAGATCATGTTTTTCCAAGTAATCACAAAAAGCACAGGTTCTTTGCAAGTTCCATGTTGAAACAGAAGAGGATTAATTAAAACGTGGTTTGTAGTGATGAGCACGAACTTGTAATAAGGTGTACTACACACAGATTGATTTATAGATGGAACTACAGGTACGTCTAAATGCACGTTTCAACCTATAAACACTAAGTATAAGATGGGAAAACGGAGGAAAAACTTACCTTTAACCCCCTTCTTCTACACACTATTGTCCAGAACACAAACTACGCAGCCCAAACCTTTTTTAATAATCCTTTTAAATGAATATTTAGAAAACGCTTCGTAAAACATTTGTTTGGTCAGTAAGCAGCCTTATTCATTAACATTCTACGACTTTGAGTAAAATTAAAAAAAAAATTAAAAACATTTGACGTAGAAAATCAAAATAGACAGCTGAGATTCCCGTGTCGTTTAGTTGTTAATTCTCGAGTCCTTTAACTTAAATGAATACCGGATATACCTATATATGTAAGAGATGTTTGCTTATGTCAAGTCACACCTTAAACAACGAAGAAAGATAATGATGTGGTCGTCCCCTAACCAATTCTGTTAAAATCTTTTTTTTTCTCGGTAGAAAGGACATGGAAGTATTTTAACGCTTTGTAAGCTTTTAAAATGAAAATTAGAAAGTATTAGTGTCTGATTTTTTTCCGGTAGTCATATTTTCTTCTATACCGATCTAGAAAATAAACCAAGGCATGCTAAAACAGGGATACCTATAACAGGCTGACGAAAGCCAAACAGGAAAGGTGTTGACATATTTAGCAATTTTGCGTTACGGCCGAATGCCCGTATTTATAAATTATTGTCCAAGTGGGATTCTTGTGGAATAATTCTAGGATATAAACAAAAGGTTTGTTTAAAACAATTTTAATTTGAAGGGGGCACAACCAAACATTTTCAGGTTTTTTTTTGGGGGGGGAGGGAGGGACCAAACAAAAATTCCTTGACAAGCCAAAGGGGGAGGGGGAGTCATCAAACGTAATTATTAAGGGCACACATCCATTAAGTGGCTTAATTTTCTAAATACTTTTGTATAGTTTACTTAAATCGGCTCAAATATTGGGAAGGAGCCTCCGCTCCCTCCAGCCTGAATAAGTAAACCAATTTGTTGGGCGTCTCACAAAGATCGATTCTTTATACTGGTCTTTCTTTAATGGGAGGTATATGTATAGGATAGAATACCAATTTTTTTGTTATCTAGTCATGTTAATTAATTTTTTTATTGCATGAGAAATTTCTGAACAACAATCCTAAACTCACAGTTTAGAAAACTGCGATAATGGTTTCAAAGAAATAATTTTTCTATTCAGCATTATAGACACATGTAACTATCTTACAATGTATTTATAATCATTGAAAGTACCATGAAATTACTATTTCACAAACAATTGTTTAAAAGCACTGTTGCAATAAAGAAATGATATTTGTACATGTTAGAAAGATGAAAAGAAACTAACCGCAGTGTGAGAGTGATTGTTTATAACTAATGGTTCATTAATGTAATGAATGGATTTCTGTGACTTTTCATGTTCAGTGTCATGTAAATAAGGTCTATAATGCCTTTAAGGTGAGAGAGGTCAAATTTAAATCCCACAGTAAACAAATCTCTTAACGAGTTTACATTCACAAAATAAACAAGGAAAGACCTACTTCTGCAATGAAACTTGCACTTTTAGTTGACATAAGATATAAAATCATTATCAAAGGCGGATCCAGGCTTTTGGAAAGAGAGGGAGTAATGCGTGCCAAAGGCAGGGTCCTTTCTTGGGGGAGGGGTTCCTGCAGGGACAATGACCCTGTGTTCTTAGAATCAGGCCCCTAGCAACAGTTTCAAAGTGGGGGCCAACTTTCCAAAATATCTGAAGAAAAAAAAACAAAAAAAAAACCTGTCAAAATCCTGCAATTCATTTGACCTTACAGTAACCAAAAAAGGGAAAAGGGGGGAGGGGGGCAACCAGCATCTAAAGGAAAATTTACTATTTCAAAATACGATACTAAAAAAAAATTGCCCCCCCCCCCCCTGCGTTCTACGGACCAGCTCAGAATAGAAGCAAATTAGTAAATTCTGAGCATCATCTGAGAACAAAAATCATCAATTTACCCCCCCCCCCCTCTTCTGCTGAACTTATTTGGCCTTTAGTGTACTTAATTCTTTATACAGGTGTACATGTACCTTGGGAGATATGTGTATAGAATAGAGCACTAATTTTTTCTTTATACAGTCATGTTACTTTCATTAATTTAAAATAGTATTACATCTTGCACTATACTGTGATTATAAAATAGGGAGTATACATGTTACGCCCCTTTTCACCCTCTTAAAATCCGCCACCAATTATAACAAAAGAAGTATTTCAACATATTTATAAATAATAGATTTTTTGGGGTAAAATTCGCCATAAAATTCTCTGCAGTTTCCTCTAACCAAAAGTTTTTTAAAATTATAAATAGGAATAATACAGGGGAAAAAACTCTCCTTTACAAAAAGATGAATGTTACGTGCATCCTTGAAAATAACTCGTACTAGAAATTCACCTAAATTTTATTGTAATGAAAACCTTGATGAACTTTTAATTGTTCTTTTATAATTACAATGTAGAGGTAAGTTTGCTCTTCAATAATGCTATCGAAGTGCAATACATTAATCAGCATTATGTTTTTTAGGTAATATCTTTACAATCAATTAAGTTAAGCTCCATACTCTACAGATAATTAAGAGGTCCCCCTTCGTTTATTTCAATGTTTGTGAAAAGGGGGTTGGTGTCATGGACGTCTACGAAACACGTTCGAGGTTGTTTTTCCGCTTGTCGGAAAGGCCTTAGAAGATGCGATTAGATAAATTCATGCAACAAAGTCACAAATCGAAGTCATGGGCCAGGTTTTCATTTCCCAATAATTTTAAAGGGCTGCTGATGAGTGATTATTGTATATTAGAAAAATTCATTTTCTTCAAGGTAGGCCCAAGGTAAGTTTAAGGTAAAAAGAAATGTAAGCCCAATTTTATTTTATTTTAAGCAAGGCCTGTGTTATGAATGTTAATCATATTGGGATTAATAGATTGAGCCATAAATATAATACTATGTCAGAAGGGAAATATCTTAAGTACGGAAGCGTATTAGTGCCACGAATTTTTTTTTTTAAAAGTTGGTAATTCTAACTTTAAAGTTGATAATTCCAACTTTAATCTTGGCTTTTCCAACTTTAATCTTGGCCTTTCTATCTTTGTATGGCTTTATGTGTTATATTCAGATGCATGTACTTTGTAGCTCAGTGGCGGATCTAGAGGGGGTGGGGAGAGAGGGGAGAGTCACGAATATTTGTTGTTTTTATTTTTTTTTTCAAAAACGTTTTTGCTTTCTTCTAGTTTTACCACATTGTTTTTTCGTGAAGTGATGCTTTACCGGTTTTAAGTCAACATCATAAACGCAATATTTTGGATGATCAATTCATGGATTATTTACGTGATACGAGTTGGAGATTGACATCTGATTATAATTATAATACATGTACATGTATTAATATGTAAGTGTCTGACTCTCCAATGCAAGTTAGCGAGTTTGAATATCCAAAATACCTGCAGTTGCCGTGGAACTAAAAATGGTTCATTTATTTCTAAAAATTTGAAATTTTGCACAACTTAAGAAGAGTATTTACTGTTTTCAAATCCAATATAACACTGCTGGGGTCGAGGGGGACATGAATATACTTATGTTCCGGCTTGAAAAACAGTGTTTCTTGTATTGTTTGTTTTTATTTTTGTTTTTTCTCCCTTTGAAGAACTACTCAATTCAAATAATTACAAAATAGGATGTGGTAGCGAGGTAAATATTTACTTACAATAGCTACAATAGCATAAAAATTTTTTAAAATTTTCTCACACACTCTTTCTTAAACGGGTCGATCTAGATAAAAATACTGGGCTTTTCAAATCACTAAAGCTAGGTGGCCTGATTTACATTTAAATTTGAAATTTAGTATTTTACTTTTATTTTGATTTTAATTCTACATATATCTAATCAGTTTCTTTATTATAACAAGTGTTGTTATTAATTGATACATGTACTATCAGGCCCGTAGAACGCAGGGGGGAGGGGGGGGCACTTCTTCTGAGTATAGTTTTTTGTTTAGATGCTGCATTTAGTTTGACCTTTTTGCACTGTAAATACGTCTTACACATAAATCAATTTTTAAAGTTTTTCCTCCAATATTTTTTATTCAAATAAATTATGGGAATAAACATGGTCTTATTTCATCTTGAATAGACACAATAAAATTTGTGAGAACAAAAAAAATTTCAAATTACTTCGCATGTTCAATTATTTGACCTTTTTGCACTCAAAAAATTTCATTTTTCTGGCATTAAAAATTTAACAAGCAATAAAATCATTTGAAAGTAATGGCATTATACTGAATTTAAGAAAAATGGTTAAAAGTGTCTTATATACTAGGGAAAAGAAAATTAAAAATGTGGGTCTGTGATGTTAATTTTTAGATATTACTAAAATACTGCTAATTTTAAGCTTAAATTAGGGCTATTATTTCTGGATTTTCACAATATATTTGCTATATTTATCAAATATGATGATAGAATTCATGATAGTTTATTTATCAAATAATTTAGCACCAGCATAAAATAGTTCACGGCACAGAATAACTCTGTGTACAGACTGCATGTAAAAATAGGAATCCAAACTTAAGATACTTTAAATACAATGATCATTTTCTTCTTTTAAAAAACCTTCCGCCACAAAATATAGTTCCTCACTTAATGCTTTTGGTATGGAATTTAATCATGGAGTTTACCTGAATATAGTTTAATTGGTATTCTAGAATCTAAATTTATTGTAAGAACTAAAACATTATGCAGAATTTTTGAAATATATATTAAGACAAAAATCTGCTCAAAAGCTCAGGAGCGAACCTCGTTAAGTTGTCGTTTTACTATGTAAATGTACGGTATAAAAACTCTTATTTCCTCTTCAACCCCCCCCCCCCCCTTTGAAAAACTAGGCCCGCGCCTGTACCTGGAATCGTGTTGCTGTTTTATAGTATACATGTAATTACAATGGAGAGAAATGATTTAATTATGAAATTATGATGAAAGAAGGAATTATTTCATTGTGTTTTCACATACAGAATTGATCCATTTAGTTCAGTTGTAATTGTAGCATGTACTATAGTGTTGATTCATCCCTATATTAAACACCAAATATTTGTTTAAGCTTATTCAATCATACAAAACAAAATATATATTTGATCTCTTAAATAGGTTTGGTTGAAATACTGTTATGTACGATGTTGTATGAAATTATTCTCTGTATAATTATATAAGATGGACCAAAAAGTATAAGGGTTTTCAAAGTTGGGAGTTATATGTAAGGTCAAAGGGAAGGTCAAGTTAAAAAATAATTGACACAGATTAATTGCTCACCATTCTATTTCAGTGTATTAATTTTGCATTAATAAAGTTGGTAATAATTTAAAATATAGGGGAAAAAGCTAAAGAAAAGGGCTAGAAATGCTCAAATTCAAAGTTGGAAAAGCCAAGATTAAATTTGGAATAACCAACTTTAAAGTTGGAATTAACAACTTTAATGTTGGAATTACCAACTTTAAAGTTGAAAGAGCCACGATTAAAGTTGGAATTATTACCAACTTTAAAGTTGGAAAGAGCCACGATTAAAGTTGGAATTATTACCAACTTTAAAGTTGGAAAAACCAACTTTAAAGTTGGAAAAACCAACTTTAATTAAAGATGGAATTTTCAACTTAAAAAAATATTACGTGGCACTAATACGCTTCCGTACTTAAGCCATGCAATATAATTTTATCAAATTTTATCAAATCAAATTTTATTTTTAGAATATTTAATGCGTTAAATTCAAATATTTCATTTGAAATGAATTGTTGAAAGTAAAAGTGTTCAGATGTGGATTTTATGTATTTTGACATATAAAATGAATAATCAATAAAACCTGTTTATATTGCAAACAAAACGCCCATGAGCCACAACGCTCACCTGAGTAACTATGGCCCCTCTTGTTCTTCATCAGCAGATTCTTTTTCCTATATATTCCTATGTAAAGCTTTGATCAACCATCGTAGCCCCACCCTACCCCGAGGGTTCATGATTTAAACAAACTTAAATCCACACTACCTGCGAATGCTTCTATATAAATATGACTGATCATGGCTTTGTTGTTCTTGAGAAGATTTTTATAGATTTTTCCTTTGCATTCCTATGTAAAACTTTGATAGCCCATTGTGGCTCCACCCTACCCTCATGATTCAAGATTTGAACAAACTTAAATCTACCCTACCTGAGGATGTTTCCACATAAATACGACTGATTATGACCTTGCTGTTCTTGCGTTGAAGATTTTTAATTCTATTTACATGTATATGTAAAACACTGATTGCCAATTGTGGCACCACCACTCTACGCCTGGGGGTCATGATTTTAACAAACTTGAATCTACACTATACAAAGTCCTTCAAATAAATATGACTAATCATGGCTTTGCTGTTCTATAGAGAATTTTTTCTATATATAACCATGTTAAGCTCTGATCCCAGTATAGTAACCCCATTCTACCCCAGGGGATCATGATTTAAACAATTTGAATCTACACTACCTGAATATGCTTCCATATAAATATGACTTATCATGGCAAGTGGTTCTTGAGAAGATGAAATTGTAAAAAGTTTACGACGACGACCCCAACGACAACGACAGATAACGGACTTGTAACTTTTGATCAGAAAAGGTCACTTGAGTCTTCGGCTCCGGTAAGCTAAAAATTGAAATGTCAGATATAAATGGCCTTATAAAATGCACAGAGTGGGTATGTGACTACATAAATGCAACATAATCTTTGAGAAATCAAGAAAAATATGTTTAGAAAAATTAAATCTTCAAATGTTTTATTAAAATTATAAACATGTTTATTCAAAATATTCATGTAAATATGTAAATTAGCAATAAGCCCTACTATACATCTACAGAACTCAGACACCTGTTTCTTTAATATATTTTTTAATCCAGTATAATTTCAACACAGGTTTCTGACTCCGAATTACCCCCTCCTCAGAATCGCAGTTATTTACACTTTCAGAGAAAATGCACTGGCAAACTGTTCATTACAATTCTCTTCTATGATAATTTATCTACAAACCATATATGACAGGTTTGTCTTTCATCTCCGTAAACAGCGTCAAAACTGCACGCCGACAGGAAAATTCGTCCAACTCCCTGAAGTACTAGGTACTTAGCTTGGGCAGAGAGCAAAATTTAAAAAATCAGTGGGTTTAAAAATTCAATTCCGATGTTTAAATATTGCAGTGAATAAATAAAATTACGATATTTTCCCGATATATATAGTTTTAGAAACAGCCTTTTAGCCAATCAAAATCCAAGAAAATATTCCGCCAGAGATACATACATGTAGCGCTTCGAACATAGTCAAGTTAGGGTTTAATCAAAATTTTATAAGAATGAACAGAGGGTTTATGAAGCTTAATGAAATGTAATGTATATAAAACACATTAAAACATAGGGTGATTTCTTTAATCATAAGGCCAGCATTTTTTTTTATTTTTAGGTTTACGGACATCAGAATGATAAAGTTCCGTAGGAGGAGGAAATAAAAAAATATAAAATTATATTTTTGGATAAATTTCCGACTTCTGTACATTCACTTTTGCTTCTTTTTTTGTGCTCTCATAACAGGCTCCTTGCCACTGGCCACACAATGGTTAAAAACAGGACAAGGTAGAACCTTAAATTGTTAATTTCATTGTCTGCCAGTTGGTGCCATTGATATAAATTTTAAGATGTTGGTCAAAATACCAAATTAAAAAATAAAAAAATCAAATTTCTCCACTCTTTTAATTTATCTTCATATTTTAAAAAAAATTGTGTTAAGTGAATGTGTAGAAAGTTTTCTAAAAATATACTTGAGAGCTTAATTAAATATTCCTATCATACAACACACAGGAAGCATTGAGGAGGGAGTCAAAATTTTTTCAACTTATTGTAAAATATTTTTTTCTGGCTGCCATATTCGTAAACAATACTATGTGCCTGTAGACATTTCTGTATAATTCCTATATAATTTTTTTTCTTTAATAGCTGAAATATTTCATTTTTAAGGCTATTGTTAATTTCCCCCCACAAATGCACTTCATTTCTTCCATAGTGTTATTCATTACATCTGATGCATAAGTAATCCTTTTCTAAAGAATGTTGGTTCGACTGTAAGCTATAGCAGAGATCTAAACAATGTCTCTGGCTATAGCTACTATGGACAGTTTGTAACCAGTGAGAGGAAATTAATTTACATGCAGATAAATACTTTTGAATACGGATACAAAATTATCTCACTAACATGCCATTGTGCAACAAAGTCGTCAGCATTTTATTTGTCCTCTGAACAGGTGAAAACTTTTTGAATGGCACTCCCGTTGATAAATTTCTCACTAAACCAAGGCTATGATGCTGCTATGGCCTATGCAGACCTACCTTCATTAATTACCCGCCATGTTTCCATGTTTATCGTAAACCGGAAGTACGAGTTCGTTAATTCAAAATCTCCATCCCGACTCAAATTGGGCATCGGAAAGAAAAAAAATCCACTTTTCTCAATTTTATTTTTTTTCTGAAAATTCAAAAACTTGAGCGGCGGGTTTGTAAACCTAAAAATAAAAAAAATGCTGGCCTAAATATCAATCACAGATTTCTTTATATTTTCAAATTTTAAAGGGCATAGGAATTTTTTCATATCAAATAGTATTCTAAAATTCCAAAGAAAAACACCTGAAGCCGATGAGGCCACCTTCTCGATTTCTTGAATTTGATCAAACTTCTTATTTATGAACGCTTTATTACAAATATGAGAAAAGGAAAATAACTGAGGTTATCAAAGCTCGTTAATTTAAGAACAGTAGGTAACTATATATTCATCAGTATACACTCTGTCCATCTCTAAGACAGTCATTTATTGCGAGGAAAAATTTCTCGTATCATTAGCAGAATCTACTGTATCCTGGAATTATTGTCAAGCAAGCCTTAATTAAAGCACTATTTGAAGATTTCCAAAATTTGCTGTTTGAATGAATTCACAATGAAAATTGTCACGTGTACCCTGTTTTGTTTTTCAATCGTAACTTTATGAGCGTTAATAGCCGTCCGGAACTCCTCGTTTTCTGTAGTCAGCATTGGCGCTTATCTTTCCCTCCTCCAACTGTAGAATACCCTGCACTATAGAGCCGGCAGACTCCGACATAGTAATGTTGTGACCAATGTTTTTCAACCCTTGTATAACTTGCTGGAAAAAAGAAATCAAATTTTACAGCTAGATCATCCAGAGGCAATCTGTTCAGTAGTAAGAAAACCTGCTCAGCAAAACTATGCAACAGGTCAAGTTCATAGTTTAAAAAAAAAACACAAAAAGCAAGTAGATTTTTACGCGAAAGAGATGGGACATAAGTAAGCGTATTTACATTGTACCATTTCCGGTTATTTTACCGAAAAAATTAATAGCAGTCCTCAGTTGTTAATTCTTGCAAGCGGGACTCAGCGAATGTCTCGCGTCGTTCTAGAATCGCGGAGTAGAGTGGATTCTTACGTCGGGGTTCGAATCCCATAGGGAGACGTGCAGACGGGTCGTCCGGAAGATACCGTACAAACCGAGATTCCGAGTCGCAGATGATGCTGGTGCGAAAAAGATCCCTCACTACTTAGCGACAGGAGTAAATTTGCAGCCTTCCATTAACAATTGGTTGCGTCCCAAGATATATTGAATAAGTATTCCTTTGAAGGAGTGTAAACCTCATAAATAACGTTGTTATTTATAACTTTGTCGTAACACTCATGTATGAACTTATTTTTCCCCGAAACAATTGTTATCAAATTGATTTTTTGAAACAAATGTCGCATTGCTTCTCTGTCCTTGATACCAGTCGCTGCTACTAGGAAATACAAGTTCGTTTTTTGTTGTCTCTGGGACACTGGTTTCCAGGGCACTCGTTTAGCAATGCCAGGCTACCAAACAATAGATAAACAAGTTCTTGTGCATACTTTTTTCGTACAGCATAAAAAATATATATCACAAAGAAAACGTTTTGAAAAAATATCTTTGGTGATATAACTATATAAATTGATATGAAAGAATTACAGGAACCTTAAAGCAAACAAAGTTACTGTTGTCCGGCGCGTAATGTGCGCGCATATAGTTTCATTTGCAAGATGCATCATACAGAATCAACTGTGTTCGGGTCGAGGCCGATCAGAAAAATTCTCGAAGAGACGTAAAGCAAACCACCAACCAACCTAGGTTGCACTAAACTACAATATGCGTATGCTTTCTAAAATTGCGCAACTGTAAGTAGACAGTATTCATCCATTTAATGAATTTCTTGTGATATTTTAAAGCAAAACATTACATACATTTATGGAAGCTCTAAACCTTAATGAAAAATGTTTTTCTTTACTAAATAAATTGTATGTATAAACTTACCGGGTCAAATCCGTTTTCCACTAATATGTAGGCTGGTAATAACTGATGATGCAGTCGTTTGTGATCGATTGATTTCTTAATTCCATACTTGAACCACAGTGTTTCAATGCTGACCTGAAACAAATTCATAAACATTGAAATGAAATTAAATCTCATACTTTCCGTTTCAAATGCAATTTCAAGTATAATGAATTTAACGACTAGTATTTTAATGAAATTCAAATTAAACTATCTCCAAAGTAATTTTGCCCTGATGACGATTTTATAAGAAAGATACATTATTTTGTAATAAACCGATGGAGAGAAAATATCTCGTTTTGTGATTCCATACGAAATTAAATTTTGTCTCCTACTTTGAAAAAAAAATGTATGTTTTTGTATCATGGACATGCTACTCCTCAGGTCATTGGCAACAACATACAAGTACTAATGTTTGCATTTGCTTCAAAGTCGCAGAGTGGATACCTTTTTGTGACAGACAGACAAACACACGACAGTGACAAACTCAATCCTTCTTCACTTCATCAATAAAGAAATAAATGTTTATATAATACTCGTATAGTATTAGAGTATTCGCAAGCCAAGGGTTTTCGGTCCGTTTCGCTCGATCCCCCACAAACCCTTCGCAGATTTCACCATTAAAACTGTGGTCGACATAAGCGACATCTTCTACACGCATTTAATTTTTCATTCTAAATCACTACCATAAACATACTAAAGCAGTTGATGTTGTAATTCTTGTCCCACCGGCAGCTCCCACCACTAACTTCACGTGACCATCTGAATCGACCACTATGCTGGGACACATTGAAGACAGTGGCCTTTTACCTGGCTTGATAAAATTCGCAGCAGTGGCTGGGTCACCATAATAGTTCGTTTTGTTTGGTGTAGAAAAGTCGTCCATTTCATCATTGAAAAAAATCCCTGTTCTGCTTCCGACCACTTTCGAACCAAAACTATAATTCAAAGAAAAATGAATGAATTAATAAATACACAGCAATGATAAATACTGTAGTTATAATTAAGTATTCAAATTAAGATCATATACAATGCAACTGATAATTTTCAATATATTCCTAAGATCATAGTATCATCGAGTGTTCTTATTAAAAAAAAATCAACATATTTTCCCAGAGGTTTTGAAAGGATAATTATAAAATCCTTGTTTTTCAATTTAAAAAAAAATACAAAAATGATCATGCATACAAGTTTTAGCTGGCATTTCCTTAAATTTTGTTTTAAAGGAGGTTTGAATCATGATAAGTCTTTCATTGGAACTCTTCAATTACAGGTTATAGGGAAACATTAAATTCAAAACTACGTAGCTTATGTCCCTAATGGAATACGTTGTTTCCAAGCGATATAAGAATGAAGGAAGTAAATAAGTATATATATATATATATATATATATATATATATATATATATATATATATATATATATATATATATATATATATATATATATATATATATATATATATATATATATATATAGCTGTTTCGGTAATTTTTTTCTCGATATATTACAGATTTTGAGTTTATTATGTGTCAACGTACTGATAATTTATTGTACTTGTGAGCGAGACAGCGTCACCATTTGGCGCCAGAACTGCCAAATGTGACGTCCCCGTTTTTAGCTGGTCGTAAAATGTCGGCCCGTAGTACAGGGTGTCGTGTGTAGAAGTATCAGATATCTTAGATCGAACATATTCAGCATAAGATGTTGACGTCATATTACTTATCAACTGAAAAAAAGAAACGAATTACAAATTCGTTATAACGCACCCAACAAAACTTAAGTTTAATTTTAAAAAAGTTTTTTCACTATTTTCAGCATCTTCAGGTGATGATTGCGAATTGCATGTTTTTACTCGACCGAGATTTGAAGCCCCTGTACATCTTTACAGTACGTTTAAAATTCACGTAAATGTAAATACACTAGGAAACTTTTTACCGAATCAATGTTATCCTTAAAACCTTGGCTCTCTTTATCTGGATCCCCAAGGCTACTTCTCTTTGCATAAGCGAACTTCATGGCTTCCACGATTCTATGCCAGGTTAATGTCGATTTCTCAGTGTTTGAGACACTATCTGGATTGAAATCGTATCCTGCAAAAATGTAAAATGCAATAAATTATATTTAAAAAAAAAATCATAACTATCAACACATTTTTAAACTATGACGGTCTTGACAGTGTAGATCAATCTATTGTATACTCTCTGGGTCCTACCTCCGTGGCATATTATTTTAGTTCAAAACTAGATTTTTATAACGGGACCAAAACCTCCCTTCCGGGGCACAATTAAAGCATTCATCTCATTAAGTATGCACAGATGCAGCCATGTTTTGTTTCGATTCCTCTTGATTCAAGAAAGTGATTTAAACGCATTTATAACCTTGATTCTTCAGATAAACAGAGACGGACGGACACGCAATATACTCCTTTCCATACAGCTTATTTGCGGTGGTATAGAAATCTTAAAATGAACTAAAGGACATTCCTAGTGGGATTGCGACATTGATACTAAATGCACTTACCGTCTGCGATGTTGAGGATCATGGCGTACACTGCTCCGCTAGATGGTAGGTGTGGCGTGAAGATGGTGGAGTTGTCCTTAGGTTTTACAACCAACGGTTCCTTCACAACTGCTACATAGTTTCTCAAGTCTTTCTTTGTTATAATTCCACCTAGTAAAAAGAAAAATCTTTTATATTCTTCTGCAATTCTGCAATGTTGACAGAAATAGACACATTTCGAACGAAACGAATAAAGATAACATGTATTCAATAACACAGTTGAAAATCGAATCACCATTTTAAGAATTACCTCTCTTATCAGATGGTCATAAAACCTTACTGCAACTCTAAGAAGAAAAGTTGTTTACTTTCCGAGTTAGCAGATGGAATTGAAACATATTTATATCAGAACAAAATATTATTTAAAAAAAGCCTTGTTAAAAAAATTCCCATTGCAACAAGATTCCGTGGTAACTAGCCAGAATATTGTTTATTTACTACAACCAATACTTTTGCATGTACAGTGTACCTACATGTATATATCAATTCAGTATTTAATAATAAACTCAAAAAAGTGCTAATCTGCAAGTTGAAGTTCAACAACTGTCAAGATTAATGTAGCACCTGCTTCCTGAATATCCTTAACGATGTCATCGACAAGAGAACCATTATACATCGTGTGTGGATCGTTGGCTATGGCTTCAAATGTGCTGGCCAGTTTAGGCATTTTGATGATTTCTCCTTCTTTGTATGGTCGTGCGGTATTTGGGTTTGTGAGAATGTCTCTGGAAGAGAATCAAACAACACAAAAATTGTAATGTCTATTTAAATAATGAAAGCGTTACTTATAACGGTTTAGTCATACTTTCCCAGTTTTGGAAAAGTGAGAAAAGTTAGTGTTAGTTGTTAGTGAGAAAGAAATTGACAATGAAGAATTTAATTTATATGTATAGAATGTTTTATATTTCTGAGCATATGATTAGTGTCTGGTACATGTACATAAGAAATATTGAGCGAACTTAAATTTTATTTTTGATGCTTAGTATCATGTTTTCATCAAACGTTGTACTAAAATCATTGTTTTAAACTGACTTTAATCTTAAACTGGGAATTGTTAAATGTATTATAGGTAAATAAATAAATAATACCTTAAATTTTTCTGTCTTAATAAAACTGTCGTTTGACTTGAAATAGCATACGCCAGTGGCTGGCTAACCTTCCATCCGTCTCGAAGCTTTTTGATTGTTGGCTGGAATAAATCTTTCCAGGGAAGTTTGCCGCCGATTTTCCAAGCTTCATACAATCCTTTAATTTCACCTGGTACTCCTATAGCTAAACCACCTGGCAAAAGGAATGGAATAGGATTTTCCAAAATGTGATCAGCATTTGCAAAACAAAAGAAAAGGAAGCTGGGTGGATAATTATGTTCGTTGTCAATTTTATTTTGCATTGCAACTATTAAATGTAAATGAGAATGTAATTCTTCATAAATGAAAATTCACAACGCTTACAATTAAGTGTACTACGGCAAATGTTTGACAAAGAAAAGCTTCCTCTTATCTATCGGTAACTGCAGAACTGTAGCTCTCTGGTCAACAAAAGTAGGACAGACAAAGCAGTGAGCTACAGATCCAAGCATTGTAAAAACCTTCGATTTACAGCGACGCTTTTTTGTCGCACGCTAAGGGTATTTCTCTTATAACATGTATATGCGTTAGTAGTATAAGGGGTCTAGCTAGGGGGGTCAACTGAGTGCACTTTTGGGCCCTGGGGGGATGGGGGGTCAACTCAGTGCACTTTTGGGCCCTGGGGGATGGCCGGGTCAACTAAGTGCACTTTTAGGCCCTTAAAGTGCCTGAAAAACAAAACAAAAAAAAAATCCATGTGAGATCCTACCTAGCCCTAAACTTGGCAGCGATTCAAATCTTGATTATGACGTCATCCTAGTCCTTCATCGCCTCTCTCGCTGCTTAATTTTGACACTTTAAAAACACAGCTGATCTCCAGCTGTTATTCTAAAAAAAGAAAAACAAGTCAATGTTAAAGTTTAAAAACTCTTTTTATTTAAGTATGATACAAAGTCAATTCTTCTTCTTTTGAAGTTTCAGGGACTTCTTGACCTCTTCCTTGTGTTTTCTTTTCTTAGGCTGGTCCAGTGGAATCAGATTTTCTTTGTTCTCCTGATGTACAATAGCTTCTACAGGAATGTTTAATAAATTACCCTGTTTGTCCCCGAGACTCATGTTTTCCTGCGTCTTTTTTTTTCCTTGGGCTTGGGTGGTCTCTTCTTCTCAGACAGTTTGTTTTGGTCACACTTATCGGCCCAATGTCCAAATTTTCCACATTTGTAGCATAGGTCTTTCTTGGGACATTCAGGGGCCCAGTGTCCTAACTCTTTGCAGATGAAACAGGGGTTGGTCTCTCTGGTTTTCTTTGGAGCTTCTGTGTCTGTGGGTTCTCTACCTTTGCCTTTTTCTTCTTCTATTTTCCACACTTTATCCTCCAGTTGGGCCATTTTGTCTCTCAGGTCAACGAATTCACTCATGACTTTCTCTTCAAACTTATTTGCATTCACTTGCATCTGGTTTAGCATGTTGACGATCCCCTCTAACGTGTTGGTTAAAATACCAAAGTCCTCTTTGGTCATGGCCTCTGGGAAATTATACAATCCCAAGTCCAGTCCTACAGGATCCTGAGTCTCTGGCATGGGGGCTATGACATAGCCTTCAGGTGTCGCATAATTAGGGTTGTCTTTGGTATTCATCATTGCTTGTGCCATGGTATACACCTCTGACTTCTGAAAAAAGTTCTGACTGAAAATGATGACCCATACACTCTCTGCGCTGGTTTTTATACCTTTTTTTAAAGGAAGGGGTCCTGGAAAAACCCACACGCGCTCAGCACGTTCTGAGATCTGGAAATTCCTGAGATGTGAGATGTGAGATCTGGGAAAAACCCACACGTTCCTCACACCTTCTTATTCTATTTAAGTCTATTGGTTTTTCCAAAGTCTAAAAATAAATTAAAAAAAAAAAAAAATTAAGTCTATTGGTTTTTTCAAAGTCTAAAAATAAATTAAAAAAAAAAATTAAGTCTATTGGTTTTTCCAAAGTCTAAAATAAATTAAAAAACAGGGGTATAAATAAGATAAAATATCATGTCTTCTGTTCATAATCAATTGTCATGTCGAAGCAATACCACTCTTTGATTTTAGAAGGCTATGATTTGTTAATGCAATGGATAGAACAACACGAACAACCTCTTCCTCCCGAAGCAGAACAAGTGTTTCAGAGAGCCACTACCATCATAGAAACCATTCAAGACTTATGGTTACAATGCCTGGCCCTGTTACATCGTCCCAACTTGGGGAGACTAGCTACACTGCATTTTCTATGTCAACGCATGAAAGAAACTCTGCCCCAGAAATGGTATGGGTTAAGCCTGACCCACAATCTCGGAAAGCCTTACACTTTTTTATGCCATCCCCAAGCAAGGAAAGTGATTTTACTCTGCCAGGAAATAGAATCGATGGAGAAAATATGCATTCAATACGGGATGAAATATGTGGAAATTTCAGAGAGACTAAGAAATGTGTGACTTTTAATACAGACTTGAATGAAATTCATTATTTACCACCCGAAGATCGGAAAAGTGAATGGATGGCTCTAGTAGCCGATCGAATGAGATTTCAACGCAGAATTCAACATTTGGAACAATTGTTAAACCAAAAAAAATAAAAGGATGAAAAGACACTAAGCTTTTTGTTTGTTTGTTATTATTTCTATACAAATGTGACGTCATCATGTATCCGTTAGACGCTGAGTCTATAAAATCCTGGTTTATTTAAAAATCTAAACTTTCCCACTGCAAATAAAGTGTATACAATTTGTTTTTAAATCAATCTGATTCTATTCATCTCAAAATTTTTATCTGAAAAGTTCGGGATCGAAAAGATTCTTATATTCCCTATACAAGTCTATACATTTAGACGCTGGGATGTTTTGTTCTTATTTAAAAAAATCTAAATTTTCCCACTGCAAATAAAGTGTATACATTTTGTTTTTAAACCAATCTGATTCTATTCATCTCAAAATTTTTATCTGAAAAGGTCGGGATTGAAAAGATTCTTATATTCCCTATACAAGTCTTATACATTGATTTTCTGAAAATGGCTGACCTTTGACCTCCCTTGTGTTTATCCCGAAACCGACGCTAAGTTTATTTTTACACTTGTAACGATTCTTTTGATCTGAAAACTATATAGACACTCTTCCCTAAGTTCAATCTTATTGTGTGCAATAAGTTTTCTTTGTGTTACACTCTCAAAAGTCTAAAACGACTTATTTTATGTATTCAGGTCAGTCAAGGTTAACCCTTCGCTTCGGCATGAATGAGCCTGTTCTAAACAAGGGAACAATGTCATGTATGAAAAATACTGTGAAATCATTCTCAAAACTTACCTTCATTCTTTTACTAGAAGGTTTGAATGTATATATAATTCCATAATATGTTATTTACTCCAATAGAGGTATTCACAAACACAAATAACACAATTTTGATTTTTCCATGATTTTCTGAGCTCTTCGTCATCCGGGCTTTTAGGGTGCTCTCTTTTCGGCTCGCGCTGTGTGTATAAATACCGACGCTGATCAGCTGTTAACTGTCATTCGTTAGCGAGCTGTTTCAGCGACACCACAACGACAACGACGAGATGAGTTTTTATGAGAACATCTTTATTGAGCCCGGGGTGGAGGTGCTTATGCAACTCATCGTGCGCAACCAGAGGACCGGGGAAGAGTACGGCGTGTTGAACATGGGGAGAGTGAGGGTCTCCGATCTGACCCACTTCACCCGCCGTAGAAGGAGGAGAAGAAGACGAGAGGCGGCAGTAGCGGTACCGGAGGACGTCAGACACCATCGTCCCGTGTACCACCCGAGGCCGGAGGAGGAGGGGAGAAACTTCCATCTCCCGGATTCCCCGGAGTCCCCCCCCCCCTTCTTCGCCCTCGGGGGTCACAGTCCAGCACCTCCTCGACCCTCCAGCAACACCGGAGCAGGACCGTGCGCATTTCCACGCCTGCTTCCCCTGGTGGGGCCTTCCAGCGCCAGTTAGGGAGGGATACTGCCCCCTATGTCTTTGTGAAGAGGAGGAGTCGAACTTCGTCTGTCAGAGATGCCATCAGAGACCGGCCTGCTACTTATGCAGTGCCCGGCTCATCGACCGCAGAGAAGGCTGCCCCCTCTGCCGATACGGGACCGAGGAAGAGGAAGAGGAAGATCAGCCCCCTCAGCCCCCCACCACCACACCACCTCCTCCTCCGCCGACACCCAGGAGACCTCTCTCCGAGAGGAGAGAGTTTGCGGGCCGAGGCCGTGGGGTCCGGATTGAGAGGAGGGAGAATGGAGTTGTTACGGGCCGTGGACGAGGGCGACGTCCCAGGGAGTAAACCCTGAAGAAAAAAAAAAACAATGGCCCTTTTAAGGGCCAACCCAAATTTTACGAAAAGATACCTTTTTGATACACGGTTATTAAAGAAACGTATAATAACACCAGAGGTCACTGTTTTTTTTTTTTTGTTTTTTTTTTTTTTGCTAAACTCATAAACACTTAAAATAAAATTATTATTATTTTTTTTCTTGTCAACTCATATTATTTATTTATTATTCGATTATAACAACAACAACAACAACAAAAAATCTATAGACTTTCTCTCCCCCATGTCCAATAAAAGTAAAAATACACATGAAATACAGTGATTTTCTCAAATCATTAGGGAATGTGTTTAAGTACGACTTAATTTTCTGTGTTTATGCCGCCATGATACTCTCGCGGCAAGTTTTTTTTTTTATTCCTCCTGTTCAAGGCGTGTAATCCACGCTGTAAGTAGTTTAAAGTTTTTTAAACATTGTTTATTGTTGTGATTATGTTATCCCTCACCTATATGTTTTAATGTCAGCTATGCTAATGAACCCAGTTCTGCATGATTTTGAGATAATGGTTTGTCATGTGCTTAAAGTATGGCCTGCTATTCATGACATCATTTATGGTCCATAGTAAATAAAGTCTATATTTATCTTTTTTTTTAAGAAAAAAAAAAAATATTTTTATGAATGAAATTTCATTGATTCCAGTATAAGTTAGGTCTTGATATATATATATTACTCTTTTTTATTCCATTACATTTAAACATGCATTGTTTCATGTAGTATTTTGTCATAATAACAAAAATGGATTTATTTCTACAGTCCTCAACATGGAAGATATGTTTTTTTTTAGGTTCCTAACCATCTATAATCAAGTCTCTATGAAGTGAAGCCTGGGCTGTACTCTTCCTTTTGGA